CTCTTTCGAAAAGTACCATGGGACCAAGGGCAAGTTGTCAGGACCCCGGTTTAAGAACCTACTGTATCTGAAGGACCTACTCAGACAACACCACATGTGGTCGCAAAGCAGCATCCTGATTTTAGTGGTTTCCCAACCTAGTACTGGCCAGACCTAGCCTTTCTGATCTGACATTTCTTAATATCAGACTATTGTTATCATTAAGGTGATAATGCTACAATGATTTTATGGAAGGTGCATTAAATAGGTGCAGTCATTAAAATAGGACTTTTGATAAAATCTTTAATTTCTGTGGCATGCCAGTGTGCAATCTTTTGAATTACCTTGGAAGTTGTCACTGTAGAGTTTAGCTTAGAGATCCAATTGGACATACAAGTCACACGACTTTGATTCCTTCTATACTGTACGCTTACTTTGAAAATCGATATGGAGTCATGAGCAACCCATATCCAGAGTGCAGCTATGGGGTGTTTCTATCCAGATTGATCCTGGGCACATCTCTGAAAGTCAGTTTCAGCCCCATCTGTTTGATCTCAGCTGTGTCTGCTAGGTGGCCTTTTCCCAAAATGGTAAAGTTAGCGAGTTTTCTAAATAGGAGCTAAAGTGATTCTGTAACATTTTGGCCATTATGGCCGCTTTGTCCAGTGAACCTTAGATGTGTGACTTGTGGTGTGTTTCATCTGTGCTTATCCAATTTCTCAAAAAAATAAAGTGCCTATCTTTTGAGGATTTGAGTTTTCCTATTGTTTTCCTATTGCATATCACATAGATTTCAAGTTATTGCTCCTGACGTTTGGCCATGAGGGTAATATCACCCCCTAGCACACTTTCCACATCTCTGATGGGGGTTTCTCACTTGTCGTCACAACAAGAATATGGATTGTAGGTAGCGGAGCTGTCTCTTGTTGTGAAACATGAATGTGGAATACCGAGAATTATGAGTCTCTTGTTTAAAGCTGATTTAAACTGGCGATTCTACTGATTTGATGATGTATATTACGGTTGTATGTTGTTATATTGTGTCTCATTATTTTGTTCAGATGTTATTTTTGTCCAAACCTAAAAAAAGGTCTTTCCCGCTGAGCTTTTGTTGTACAGAGCTTTAAAATACTCTTTATTGTCTGAAAGGTATATTCTAAAATATAATTTCGTATTAATATTATAATATTTTGCTTTAAGTGCACTTCGGGTAGTGAAGTAATCCTCAGGTTGTGTGTCCAGATGACATTGCGTGTTTTGCAAACGCAGAAGCACAGGAAGCAAACCCTTCACCCTGCGACTAGCAGACAGCGGCACTAGCCCATTCTGTCCTGCAGGCAGCACACTAGAGCAAGAGCACCACAAAGAGGCCCGTACAGGTTGAATCGTATGCTGACCAATGCTTATCAGAGACCCTCACAAGAATTTTTTTCTTTGGACTGTAATATAGCCTAGATCTCCTGGGGAAAAAAAAAGTTTTGTATGGCAAATGCAGATTTAAGCAATAATCTATTGTCTTTAAATTCCAGCCAGTCAGCTTCCTTGCACATTTGCATGGCTCTCTTCTCATTCAAAGAGCCCCCCTCTGTTAACTTATTAGAGGAACAAGTAATAGGTTAATTCGATGCTGAAGAAAAGAAGAAAGGAAACACAACGTTTCCGCTGTGGAGCCTTCTTCAGTTGTGAGGCCGAAACGTTGCGTTTTCTTTCTTCTTTTTTTCAGCATGGAATAAACCTATTACTTGTTCCTTTGCAGCCTACACATGCTGACGCAGCTGCCCACCTACCTTATTAGAGGTTTACATACCAGCCTCTGAGGTATTTCTACTGGTGTTAGGTGTTAAGATTAAAGTTCTGACCAGAACAATGGTGAATTCAACAGGAATGAACAAAGCACTGTTTAGTTATGAAGCCTGGTGTTGAAGTTCTTTTTTTTTCCCTTCGACGATGAACTGATATTCCCTGTCCCGGAGCACTGAGATAAGAATCCAGCAAAGAAATAGAACCTGATCAAGTGTGAAATGTCCAATGATTGATATCATATCAAGGGGTAACTAATTAATCAATTTCTTACCTAAACAGCAACGACCCCATCATACTGTATATTTAAACCTCCGATTGACTAACTACAGTATTGATTTCTTAGTTGCAATTTGTTGCCTTTTCTGCCATTTTCTATCACACCAAAAATATCATTTAGAAACTTAAGGAGAGTAATTCAGTCAGACTTTATTCAATATAATTATTACATACTGTAGGAAAATAAACATCTGAAATTGTACCTCCCGGTTAGTGTAACTTACCCAATACTAGAATACATGTGTAAGGAAGAAAAATCCATTGTATCCGAGTGCCAGAGCTATTCCCTCAGAAACAAATGAGTTCTGTCAAGAAGAAGGCTTCAATTTATAAATGACACTGTTGTACAGTAGATTGCTCTCCTATTGTACTTGTTGGCAGCTGTGTTCCTGAGGATTTCTCCCAGTGTAAACAGATGTTTTCTTCAATACAGTGTGTTAGCAATAATCCACATGGCATAGAATTTATCATTCCAGCATGGGGTGAGATAGAATGTCCTGACATACCGAGATTGAGAATAAAAAAAATGTATATACAGGTATTTTCACCTACACTGTAAAAGTAACAAACTTTAAAAATTGCACCCCACCACTTTTATTTGCTCATTTGTATTGTCCATATACCAGCAGCACTCTCCAGTGTGCAATACAGGTATCAAGGATGTGATTCATAGTACGTTTTACGCCATTCAGAAAGTTGGCTATTCCTCACACTGATGAATGCTTTAATTTGAAATGTGGCGTAAATAAATGGATATTCAGGGAGATTTTCTTTCCCCTTGATGGTGCTGTTTGTTTGATCTTTCTAAAGGATCCTGTTTCTCCCAGAGTCCCACGACATCTAATTCTAATGTAAGATTTGTCAAAGGTGGCAATATAAACTTCCCACCTCACAAGACCTGCTTCTACCTCAACTCTTCCATAATCTCAGCAAACAGCCCTCAGGGGACTAATAAATGCTTATTACTACGCGCTTCACTTTATAAAATCCAACACTCCTAATGCATGCTAACGGTTATTGAGAACGCAGAGATCTATCATTGATTATACCCGGCACTTTCTAGATTTGTATGTATGCTCTCTGCTTCTTGTAATTTAATAATGGATCACAGGAATTGTTTGAACAAGGTCTCATTTGTCTTTATAGCTTGTGTCGCCTTTTGGGTTTTCTGAGATGGAAAGGAAAAGTTATGAAGGAAGAAGGAAAAGATATGTGGCTCGTGTTAAAAATATCTGATGAGACGACATGTGCCTGTTATTTATATATATAGTGATGGGGAAGATTTTGTTGGCCATGGATGTTAAAATTGGGAAATTTCAAGCAATCACCTTAGCTTTAGAGTTAGGCAAAACAATTCAGATTACATTCATTCTTGCTCTCCCAGGTTCTCGAGGAAAGAAACCTCAGTAAACACTAAGCATCTTCATACTTACTGCAATGTGATTTGTGGGCCACAGCCCACCATTAGAGCTGGGTCTATTGAACTGTGAACTGTGATTCTCACTCTTTCTAGCATTACAACAAATGCTTATTAGCTTCCTTCATTTGGTTTGAAAACGTCCTCAGTATGTACAACACAAATACGATAAATTAAAAACATGTTTTAACATTTTTCAATAGGTTTACTCATCCTGATTATCCTACAGTACGTTACCAAATGTAAATTTAGGCAAGAAAGTATAGAACCTTTGCTAATCAAGATTTGCAAAAGTACCCTTTATTTGTGAAATTATAACCGTGCCATTGACAATGGAAATTGGTGTCTGCATGCATGTTGTTTTTTATTGTTTTTATTAGACTTCAATGCTTTGTTTTGTTTTTGTTTTTTAACTTCAAAAGGCAAAGGTTGCAGTGTCGTGCTGGGGAGTTAAAGGATTTGCGAATGTTCTCTGTTTGCCCCTGCCTGATGTGCTCAGACGCTGATCTTTCCAACTGTTAAATGGAAATCTGGGCTTTTTTTTTTATTTTGCAGCTCCACTGCTTGCTTTCCTCTCAGCATTGCCACTATAGCGTGGCATAATGTAGTGTGGCAGCGCTGAAACTGACACAGTGAAGTCACTGGTGGTTTTGGCTCGAGGGGGTGTGTGTGTGTGTGGAAGGGAGTGCATGCACTGTATATACAGCAGCAGAAGACACTTTGCCTGCAGCTTCTATTCTCCCTAATGGCTCATCAGTCACCCCTTGGAGCTGGCACTCCTCGCCGCAGTGTTTGTGTACAAGGCGCGATCACTTTGCGCTGATCAGAACTCGCACGCTGGCTCCCAATTCGAGCGGGCGGCTCTGCCCTGGCAGGCAGCACCAGCTGATGGAGCAGATGGCGAGCGACTGGGTTGGGGAGGTGTTTGATGAGTGGAAATGGTTTGTTTTAATTACTTGTCAAGTCTGGTGCGGAGGCCAGAACTAAGGGGCTTGTCTGTTCATGTGCCCGGGGCAGGATCAGGAGCTCATAGTCCTGGAGCTGTGACAGATAAAGAGGGCATTCAGAAAAGAGTGACAGGTCTGCGTATCAGAGAGCATCATCTCTGAATGAAGGGCGGAATGACAGACACTTGGCTTAATGTATTTCCTCTAATTGGCATTTGTTTTGCATATGCATGAAAGAAAGCGGTATTTTATGATGGTGAATCAGACTGATTTATCCTGTATGTGCTCTCAACTGCTCCTGCACATGTGGTCATTGTGCCCATTAATTGGCTCCCAAGGGCAGGGGTGAGAGGGCAGGAAGGGAGTGGTCCTGTTCCAGTCAACTGGAATGTGACGTTCTGGTTGCAGCCGTTCCTTTTATGTGCTGTCCATTTTGTGGAGTCAGAAACATGTTAGCATTCATTTTGAGCTTTGCTGGGGTGGGATTACGCAGAAAAGGCCAGTTAGGTGTGCAGCCTATTAGGGATTTATTTTTGAAGGCTATTATAAAAACTGTTTCCTGTGTTTTGTCTTTGCAGTATGTGCTGGGACAGAAAACAAGCTGAGCACGCTGTCAGACCTGGAGCAGCAGTACCGGACTCTGCGCAAATACTATGAGAACTGCGAGGTGGTTATGGGAAACCTGGAGATCACCAGTATTGATCGCAACCGAGACCTCTCCTTCTTACGGGTAGGACTTAGTATTTCCTGAGCAGAACAATACACTTCTGTTGTACTGGCTTTGCTAACACAGACATCAGATCCCCCATCTGCTCTCAAAGGCTGACTCGGAAAGTTGCACAGCAGAAGGAGTTCTGAGGTTTTTACTGTTTTGCTAACTCATATCAACTCATAACAAATCTCTGGATCCCTGCCCTGTCCTTTACATAGCCTAATACAAATGCATTTAATTATTTCACACGCTTAGTGGTAAAATGTGTCAAAAATGCTCCAGGTAGCTATGATTCCAAAAATACCCGTCTTTGCTGTCAATAGAGTTGAATAACACCAAAAGTTTGTTTAGTTTCTTTCTCTTTCACTGAGTCCTCGTAATGCAGTCTAATTAAGGAGACACTGTTCTCACAAGCAGCTCTTCCTTCAGCCAGATTTTTTAGTAGTTGACAGAGCAGATGAATGGAGATCTCTCAGAACTTGGAGCAGTTTCATCACAGTAACAGCTAATCACATTGATTCTGGACCTACTCTGCACTGCACAGTGTTATTTTGAGACTTAACACTGTGCTGAAGAATGCAAATTCTTATCTATTTATTAAATGTGCCATTTAGAGCAATTAACCAAGAAATCTTCTACATAATTATGTTCCTGGGATTCATAAAACTGTTTTGCATTATAGGAGAAAATGAATACAGAGGGACATGTTCTAAAGTATGAAAGCAAAGTTCTGTCATTTGTTGTGAGAGAATTCTATTACACCTGACCAGATTAAATGAAGTCCAGAAGTAATATGGAGATACAACTGATCTGATCTATTGTTCATCCGGCTGCTAAAAATTGAAAGTTATACTTGGTAGATTTCAGTGCGATGGAGGTCATCTAGTCAGCCTGCTGTGGTTCCTGTACAGCAGACTGGGATGGATTAGACAGTTAATGACGTTATGATGGTGCACCAGGAGCTCCAACAGCGGCCAGAGGCTGTGGATGGAAGATAAGGGACTGTGAAAGGGAAACTGAAAAAAGGAAAGGAAAAGGCTGTTAATACTGACGTTGCAAATGTGGCTGGTACAGTGGCAGAGATAGACTACATTATGGCTGAGGATGATAGTGTCAGTATAAATTGTATCTGACCTCTCTCTCTGTCTCCGTTACACAACAATACTGGCAGATGGAGTTTCAGGGGGAAAAATAATAATCTAGTGTTTCGGAAAAGGTCAGGGATTTATGTCAGGGAACCGTTTCAGCAAATACAGTGCAGTGACTTTTTTTTTACAAGCATTCATGGTGTTACTCCGCTCAGTGTCTGTATGTTGTTAAACTATTTCATTTAACAGGTGACACCTTCTCCACCGCTGTGGTATTCAGAAGAGGCTTTAGGTCTTTAATTTGTTGTTTTGGTGTAAATTTCACCTTTGAGGTGTTGTGACAGCTGAAGAAATGAAAGGCAAGTCCTCTTAACTTGGACGCTTAAGATGCTCCAGTATATACTAGCTCGATTTTGAGATACAGAGAGTGCTCAGCACTCTTTAATTGTCCTTAAACTTTGATTACACCTTCTGCTTTCTCTCAACGACAGATTCACCTCCTTCTAATTTCTCTCTATTCATTTGCAGATTTCGATTTTCTCAATCTCTCCCAATGTTCTCCCTGAGTTTGGACACTCATTCTCACCTGCTTTATGCCCATTTCCTCAATATTCCCTGCCCCTTCTTACCTCCTCTGCCTTTTGTTCTCCTATTCCATTTTTATTTACGACTTTCCCTCTTTCCATCTCGCCTGAAGAAGATGGGAAGTGTTTCTTTTCTTTACTTTTCAACATGGAATGAACTGTTCCTTTGCAGCCTACACATGCTGACGCAGCTCCCGGCTCGAACTCTTTCATTACTGTAGGTGCATCGCAATACTTCAAGGTTTACAGTAGCCAGCAATGATGAAATCTTAGAGAAGTGTAATAAACCAAAGTCAGTGCATTTCTGGTGCTGGGTCACAGTTGTGTGACAAGCTGGTGGCATTCAGTACTCTGCCAGCTCCAATCCTTCAGCCATTGGAAGTCCTGACTAGAGGCAGCAAGGCAAGTGATCTACTGTAACCTGGATTGTGTGCTACAGACCAAACACTCTCCTGCTTCCTGTTGTCTTAAATGTTTTGAAGACATGGAAGAAAAATTCACAGGAAGGACCAGAATCACAACATGCACCAGACCCCATGAAAATGTCTCTGGGCTCAGGAAAGGCGGTGCTTGAACCAGGACTCAAAGAGAATCATAGATCACTGATAATTGAACATAAAACAAATATGTGCAAGCTGTCACGATAGCTTGTGCCACAAAAACATATGTAGTGCACTAATAAGCAGCTTGCACAGTTAAAAAATGCAATAAAGGATTTACAAATAGACTCCTACTGTGCCAACTTACTCTGGGACAGCAAAATACATTCAAACATGGACTTTTTATGGTTTTGCAGTGCATGGTTAATCTCTAAGGTAGCTGCACTACCAGGAATTGTCACATGCATGTGTAAATGTACTGTTCATGTAATAGTCATAAGCAGCATATTAAACTGAATAGAAATTGGCTGATACTACTGTAGATATCTATAGTTAATATTGAGGAATTGTCAGCTGGAGGCACAGGCGAAGACCTGAGTCATTGCTTTGAAGAGCACCATCCCTCACCTGTGAAATCACGAGGGCAGGATCAAAGTGTTTAATAATATACATGATTTATGTGGTAAAAGGAGAGCAAAATTCACACTTTATATACAGTAGAATATTAATCACTAACACCATAAGGTAGAACAAATTGAAAAGTCTGTTTTTTTAAGCACATTAATAAGCCAGAACCTGTGGACCTCACTGTCAGAGCGTAGAACGTCACCTTGAAAAAATTATCCAGCACCCAGGTCCACTGTCTCCTAAAATGATTGAAACCTATGTTTTTTCCCCCTCCTTATTTTCAAAGATAGCCAAGATTTATTATAGCTTCTTGAACCTCCAGAAAGATTTATAAGCACTTCCTAAAATGCATCAATGGCTGATGAATGAAATCCCACGTTTGATTGATATAAGCATTCCTAATTTCCTTTTAGATATGTGTAAAAAATGCTGGTGCAATGTACTGATACACATTTTCATAGAGACTTCTTTCAGATTGTAAAGTGCTTTTCAAAATTGCCAGTGCCTCAGATTTGCTGTCATAATTATTCTTTATTCAATATAAGCTTTCGGTATTAATAGTATGTAGCTATGTCTAGACTTTTATTGACTACTTTTGTTATAGCCTGATGAAGTCTCATAGAGACAAAATTAAACTATCTATTAGAGCATCTAGAAAGCAAATAACCTAATACACTTCCTAAGCCTCAGTGGTGCATTATTGCAAATAAGGCAGTTTAGGCCTTAGTAATGAAAGATGTGCATATGTATACCTGCTGCTTGCTCAAATGTGCAGATCCAGACTATTTGATTCATGCACTGTTCTGAACTGACAGTTGGCACTCGTTTGCTAATCACCATTCCTGTTTGCTCCTCTAGTATTTAATGAGCTGATATGCTGCTAATTACCACAATATCGTTTGCAAACGGAAACCATAAACATTTCTATTAGGCGTCACACCATTAGCTCAACAATTAGCCAACATGGGGATTGAAATGGAATATTGGTGGGTATGACGTTGAGATAGTATTCCTTTTTTTACCCCCAAAGCTCGGTTTGTTTTTTAACGGTGATGAGCTGTTGAGCAGCTAACAACTAACAAATGTTAATTCACATTCTTTTGTTTACTATTTAGTCTTGATCTTATTTCCAGAAGGTTTTCACTGTTCCTTTTTTTAAACCGAACAGTCATTAATTCAGGCTGCAAATCCATTTGTGTGAAGCCACATGTAGGCCGGCTTGGATTGGTCACTAGTGTCCAGCAAGAGGCTTCCAGTCAACTAAATAAATAAGACATGCAGGTTGTCCTTGTGCTGCTTCATGAATTGTATGGTCATCTGTTCATTGCTGATGTATCTGGAAACAAGAACATCTGTCTGAGGGAGTCAGATTTGAACAGAGAAGATTATTACAAGGGGACCTGATACAAGTATTCAAGCAAAGGAAATGCATTGGACTTTTTCAGAATGAATAGTAAAACATGAGTCAGAAGTGCAAACTATGTGTAAATGCATTTAGAGTACAACTGATAATAGGGAGCATGAAACAAGCTACAAGCTACCAGCTATTCTGCAGTGTTGTTGAAGCTCATATCCTCTTCAAAACTCTATAAGCTACCAAAAGGCTAGAACAGCCTCCACCTGTATACTTGTATACTGTGACCTTTCTTAACCTCTTAGTGATTTTCTCACTACCAGATCAACAGCCATCTCTGTAAATCATTTCTGCCATGCAGAAGAATTATGGGGAAAAATGCTTCACAAAGTTTTTTTTGTAAACATGTTTAAGTTTATGAGTATACCAAACCAGAACACTCATCTGGCAAGGTATAAAGGTGCAATTAACAAAACAGCAGGCAGTGATGGCCCTTTGGCACTGCTGTGAAAAAGAACAGAAGCAGAGAAATCATTAAAGCCCATGATTAGACGGGCACAGTGAGGGCTGCAGAAGGAGCTCTTAGGAAATGTAGTCCTGCCTTGACCTGACCTCCCCTACACTGTGGACAGAGGAGAGAGATGGCCCCACCTACTGTACGAGAGCACTTCAAGGGAACTTCTTTTCCCTTACACATGAAGCCATCTGGAAGAATGTGTAGCAATGGAACATGCAATCCACAAATGAGCACAGTTGTGAAACCAAAGCACGGAATCCTTTATTCATGCAAAGCATGAAGGAAATAAATTACTATGGTGCCTCTAATTAACACTTTCAGACTTCTAGGTTAGAATGACTGTCTTAAGACAACAATGAACACTCTTCATTGTTTGGAGAACAATAGAGCACAATAATGGGTGTTTGTAAGGACTGGGATTAATAAGCCTTGAAAATGAAGTGTATTCCATCCTGTCCTGTGTGGGAC